ATAGTGACTGGGATTACCTGGTTCATGTTATGCTGTGTGTACAAATCATTCGTAACAAATTTATATGCGTCAGGAATTTTGTACTTCGTCACAAAGTCTGTGAAATAGCCAATGTTTTCCATCTAAAAACAGTATTTTAGGTGTAAGTTGGAATAAAGCTTAAGAACGGACATGAAACCCAAGAAAGACAGCTGCTACGACTGGATAGTTGTTCTCACCTTATGAAATGGCATTTTTGCGTTTTTATGATAGTTCTTAATAGAGCCTGGGGATAGGACGTTGGCCAAACTATGGACAAGACATGGAAAATACAGGTTTCGATTTCGTMCAAAAAAAGGGGTATGGATATCACTTGGGGCTTGCCATGTTTTCATCTCCTGTTCCTTAGTATTTTACTGTGCTGAGTGTAGTGTGATTCATGGGGCAAATTACAAACAAACTAAAAAACAAACCACTCACTGCCCACACACAAATTGCCAAATGAAGGCTCTGATATTATCGAAACTTAGACCGAAAGAGAGAATGCATGCATAATATTAAAAATGATTTTTTTTTTCAGATGAAGGCTGCTTTACATGTTTTTYATGCATATTTATTCTTCTTTTCTTTCTGAATTTTTGATCCCTATATTAGTTGGGTTGGCTAGCAACCCTAATCAACCCCCTCCCGCTAAATCAACACAGTTTGACTGTAGTGTTTCATTTCTCAAACAGTGCCTGCGTTAAATAATCGCGAGAAATGTTAWCAATGCGCATATCATCGCATTTCCGAATACCCAGAATTCTCTTTTGTCTTAAAACTAGCTTATTCATGTCAAATAGTGAATACCAACAAATGTCAATAAAGGCATGGAAATCTGTTAGATATCCCTACGATTTCAACTTTTTTCTTATACTCAGTAATCAACCATTTTTCATGAAAGCTGAATAGGTCATTATGCAAAAATCATAAAGTGTTTTTGTGTCGCTACGATGATGCATTTATTTTCGATTCAACCACTAGTCCGTATCGCGATATTCCGTGCCCTAATCCTTTATATAGTCATAAGTATACAGAATGGTGCCAAGGAAACGATCTTTGATAAAAGCAACAAAACACGTTAGAAGTACCGTCATTTTTGGAGAACATTTTTAACACCTCATCTTGATGTCGCTACGTCACTTACGTGCAAAGTGTAACGCCACTATTCAAAGAATCGAAAAAATCAGTTGGACCGTGACCAGACGAAAAACTGCATTTCGTTGTACGAACAATCCATCCTTTGACATCCCTCGCTACTTCGTTGTTCCACTGGAATAAGAAAGATATATATAAAATAAAAAAATATACGTCAAGTTTTCAATTTAATTCTCAATCATAACAAAGATAG